CTATAACTGCAAATTGTGCCAAAGCTAATGTACTCAGCCAGTGGAGTATCTACCATAAAAGCTCTAGATCGAGATCAGTCAGATTGCGGCGCAGTTTAAAGAATAATGGGCCAACACACACACACACACACACATATACATGCATACAAATATATATGTGAATACTCATTTGAGCACTCAAACGAATGCCCATGTGAATGTATATATGCATGCTTGCATGTGCTTGTTAAGCGTGTGTTTGTGTTGACACTTGGCGAATATGTTAGGTAAGCAAAGCATCAAAAGGCAAATAAAAATCGTGAAATAAATGTGCAACAAGTTGACGCATTTGCATAGCTGCAGCTAATTAATTCAATTAGGGGAGTAGCCGCCGTCGGGTGTTCTTTTAATCGAATCTCACTTTCGTGGCAAAGGCTGATGCTTAAGCTAATACCTAAAGCTGCTGCTCAAGCCCCAGCCGGATGATTGAGTGCTTGCGGAAGCTGTTCGCGTGTTGACAATTGACAGGTAGCTTATCGCATAACAGACGGACAGAAGATAGATAGCATCTAAAATATATGGTGTTATGAAAACAAGTTGTTTGCTAAAAAGTTCTCGATAAAGGCTTGGCGTTAATATAAATCGACACCGATAATATAATCCTTAGATTAGCATGATTTATACCAGTGTAAAAACGATAATGCTTTGCAATGTTTTATTTGAGCTCATGTTCATTGAAATCTAAAACTTAAAGGTTTTATGTGGATCTGACATTGGATCAAATTGCTAGAAGAAATGATATCTGATGGTCGATTCATTCATATTTTACTCAGTTGCTAACATTGCTATCGAAATTGTCATCGATAAGTTGTCAACTCAGACTAATCAATTAAATAAAAGAAGACTTTGCTAGCAAATCAACAAGCTCAGTTGCAAGAAATCCATTAACAGGTGTCTAAAATGCATAGATTGGCTAGATAGAACACCATTTTAATTGAGCATCAATTATCGATAGCCTGTAATTAATGGCATGTTGTGACGATATATTCTAAAGTTTTATTAAATATCTTGCCACTGACTTAGGGAGGGAGAGAAGGAATAAATGTCGATTTCTGTTCAACCTTAGCTTGATCTCTACACACCCTGGATGGCTTAGCCGAACACTTTGATATAGTTGTAGTTGCATGTAGATAGATTGATAGATAGATGGATAAATGAAGCAGTAGATAGATTGCTGTTCTAATCAAACTAGGCGCTTAACTTGTACTGGCCTGTTGGCTCTTGCCCCTCGGCTGTTGGCCGCTCTGTGTGGCAGTACCTAGCTGAGCAGGGAGCAGGGAGCAGAGAGCAGGATAGGACAACGTGGACATGACAGTTTATGGGCAATCTGTGTGCGCGCACAGAGCGTGGCGTAGCTGTGGCTCCTCTATAAATTTGCAATCAACTTTTATCAGGCTGGCCTCAGAACGTGCCAGCGCTAACGTTTCTATTCACACGCCTCGACTCGGGAACGGGAACGCGATTACTTCACGGTCAAAAACCTGGCAGATCGGCTGCCGCTGCCACTGCCGCTGCTGCTGCTGATGCTGATGCTGCTGCTCCAACAGTGATAGATTGGCCCACATTCGCTGTGAGTCGCGTTTGGCTGCCAATTTTACAGGCAACGTCCGTAGCAGCAGCAGCAGCAGCAGCAGCAGCAGCAGCAACAGCAGCATCGCCCCCTCCCCCCTGCGACCGTCTTACCAAGCCATATACTTAGTTGCATTCATCGTCATACGTTGCCGCCGCGTCATAGCCGTCGCCTTGGTAATCTAACCAAATTACTGTGGTGTTCACAAACACGTTCTCTAAACGGTTTCATAATAACAACGCTGCCGCAGAGCTCAAGAATTTCTGCGGACGTCTACAGCTTCCTTCTCATAATGTGAATATGCAGCTAAAGCTCATCTCAAGCATGGTTTGTGTATGTGTGTGTGTGTGTGTCGGTGCAGCGGCTGTGTTCTAATGCAAATTGCAGTAATAATTGGCCTATTATGCCACAGAGCCAGGCAGTAGGTCGTACTGTACTACAATATTGTTGTTCTTGGTTACACTACACTTGGAGAGAAAAGACGAAGGAAATTCGGGTTCGAAATCGGAATCAAATTAAAATCTTTTATATATCAGATATAAGTTTGAGTACTTTAATATAATTTAGATTAGCAATTATCACTTTAGTTTTATAATCGCCTTTAATATATATTTTTTAATGTTATTATTTAGATTATATTTAATTTATGCTGTGAAAACTCAATGGCATTAATATTTTGTAGCATTTTTTTAAAGACCTGAAATGAGTTTAAGATTCAATTCCAATCCATCAAGAGTTTTCTTTGCTATTTTCTCCAAGTGTATTGCCAGTTGTTGCTATTGCTGTAGTAGTTATTTTTGTTGTACTTATTGTTGTTGTTATTGATAGTGTGTGTGTGTGGCACGCCCACCTCCCAGCCCCGCTTAACGCCCAAAAGCATTTAATATATGTTTTAGTCTAAAAGTTGGCATTAGACACTCGAGATCTAACCAAATATGGCAAGCATTGGCTAAAGGTGGCTCGGCTGCTTGGATTGCATTTATAAGGCGGAAGCGCAAGCCGAATCGATAGGTCGCACAGGCAGTGGCCACGGAGCGAGCCAGATGAAGAGGTGCATTTGTGCGCTCATTAATTAGTTGCGACGGCAAAT